CAGCGCATGTGCAGACTGATGGACAAAGTAATTCCAGCAGCATTAAGAGAATTCGTTTTCGTATACCTGGATGAAGTACTGGTCTGTTCTCCAACTTTTGAAGAACATTTGGAAATGTTGCGACAGGTCAGTGATTGCCTGAGGAGAGCAAAATTAACAATCAATGTGGCAAAAAGTAAGTTCTGTTACAGCCAAGCTAAATACCTGGGATATGTAGTAGGTGGGGGTTGCATAAAAACCAATCCAGCAAAGATAAAGGCTATTCAAGAATTCCCACAGCCAATATCCGCTAAACAGATGCGGAGATTTTTGGGAATGACAGGGTGGTACCGGCGTTTTATACAAAACTACGCTCAAACGGCAGCACCGCTTCATGAAAGCCTCAAAAAGGACCGAGTCAGGAAATATGAGCTCGAGGAAGAGGGTATTAAAGCCTTTGAGGCACTGAAGACCAACCTGGTATCAGCACCTGTGTTAACAACACCGGATTTTTCAAAACCTTTCACGATTCAGTGCGATGCATCGACGACCGGAGTCGGAGGGGTGTTGTTCCAGACAGATGAAGAGGGTGGCGAGCATCCTATCGCGTACATGTCCTCGAAACTGGACAAAGCCCAAAGGAACTACAGCATCACTGAACTTGAATGTTTAGCGGCAATATTGAGCATCAGAAAGTTCCGCCCATACGTTGAAGGAATGCCTTTCAAGGTCATAACAGATCATGCTAGTCTAAAGTGGCTCATGGGCCAGAAAGATTTATCAGGCCGACTAGCAAGGTGGAGTTTGAAACTACAGGCCTTTGATTTTGAAATCGAACATCGGAAAGGGTCACAAAATGTGGTTCCAGATGCGCTTTCAAGGGTACATATGGATGAAGTAACAGCGGGACTTAGGGAAGCGGCAGAGATTAACATAGACCTACAATCAGCAGCGTTCCAGTCGAAAGAATACAAAGAATTGGCTCAAGCTGTTGAAAAACACGCAGAAAAGACTCCGGATACCCAAACGTCCGAAGGATACGTTTATAAGAGGGTAGGATTCCGAGCAGGCGAAATAATTAATGAGGACCGTGCTTGGAAGCTGTGGGTTCCAGAGGAACTTCGGCAGGACCTAGTTCATAAAGCCCACCATTCTCAAATGGCAGGACATGGCGGCATACTCAAAACTTTAGCTCGACTAAGGCAGTTATATTACTGGCCCGCAATGACGGTTGATGTACAAAGAACTGTTAAGAATTGTGAAATTTACAGATTCAGCAAAACGAACAAATCCAGCCGACCGCCAATGGGAAAACAACGAATAACTGAGCGGCCAGGACAAAGACTTTACATTGATTTCATGGGACCATATCCCCGTACCAAATCCGGAAACACCGTGATCTTTGTGTGTCTGGACCATTTCAAGCAAGGTTATTAATCATTTAAGCAAGGGTTAGCCCGGGCACACGAAAAAGCTGAAAGAACGTATAATACACGCAGTAAGGAAATTGAATTTGCAGTAGGTCAGGTGGTAAACCAAAAAAACTACAAGCAGAGTAACCGAATGGAAGGGTATAATGCAAAGCTAGGGCCCAATCGGGTACGGTGTCTAATACTTTGACGCAAGGGAGGGTCGCTGTACGAATTAGGGAATTTAGATGGAAAAAGTATTGGAGTATATCATGCCAAAGACCTTTTCGCTGCTTAAAACTGGTTGAAAACCAACAGCAATCAGTGCAATTGTACTACACAGCAAAGGAGGATCGTTCTTTTTTTTAGAGCAGCCAGTAAGAAAGAAGCAAATAACTATGGAACTCATGCAAGACATCGAGAACACGAGGGAGGCCGTGAAGAGGCATCTGGAAAGGTGCGAGGCCGAGGGAAGACCCCTCCCCTCAGAAGCTGACGCTCGGGACCGCAGAGACATAGCGGTGGACGAGCGGGAAAGACTCGCCTGGGTCGATACTGAACTAGAAAATACACTACGAGCAACGCAGTGGGAAATTGAGAAGACCACGGCAAGGATGAACGCCGAATACAACCGCCTCAACCAACTAATTCGGTTGAGGGACGCAACACAGCGGGACCTGCGGATATGGGAGGAGGACTACCGCCAGGCACGGCTCGAGACTCCGCACTTCGAAGCGATGTTCGAATACATATACGCAAAGAACGAGCGGATCCGGCGAGAAAGCCGATTTGCAATTCGCCGGCGGCAGAGGAGGCAAAGTCTGCCTCCAGAATACCGTATCTACACCGTGGCGGAAGACGACGATGAGGAGGAAGACGACGACGAGCCGACCCCGGCAAGACGGCGTTTGTCAGTGTAAAGAGAGAAAAAAAAATATATAAAATCGTATCGTATCAAATAAATGGAAACAAATAAAAATATATATGTATATTCCACCTGACCTTTTTTCTATTCTTTTTGTTAAAAATTAATGATAATAATAGCCCGGATATCTCAGTCGGTAGAGCATGAAACTCCTAAATCCCAGGGTATGGGTCGAGGCCACACGATAGGGCAATAACGGACTAGTTACAATCGCTCCTCGTAGTTTTTTTGCGAGTGCATTCCATGCTGAATCAGCATCGACGACCCTCGAGCGTGTTACGGGAGCGGGGTAAGAAATAAAACCAGAAAGAAATAGATATCGTAACCAGAGACAGAAACCACTGTGAACTGCAGGTGGCGAAACACCGAAGTTGGTCAATACAGTAACCAGCAACGAATTGGTCAGAGTAAGCAATTCATACGAACATACAACCGACAATAGGTGTATGCAGCAATTAATATGAAACCTAGCAGAACCCAGAAGTGGGACAGTAAGCCAGAAAAAGGGGAAATTCTGTACCTGAGTGGGAACACTTAGATGACCCGGAAGCAAAACCACCTCAGGTTCAAAAAGGTAATAAAAAAGATCATTGCGAATCGGGCAGTCGGAGTCCAAGATAAGTGCGAATCAGACAAGAAACGACCGCGGAACCGTGTTAGGTCCACTACTGGCAAAAACAGTAATCGCGGAGGACCTATCCGAGTGATCGAATTTAGAACCCGATAGAAATATAACTTATATATCATGGGATCTACAACCTCGAAAGCATCCGACAACACGGCAAACGTGGTGAGCAACGTTGAAATTGTAGACCACAAGGAGGACATAACCAAAGTCTACAATGTTTTGTGCCTCATTACTGGACTCTTGATCTTTATGTTGATTCTGAGCTTCCTCCGGATATACAAGCGATCTGTACAGAGACGTCGGGACCACGGACACGAGCTGGAGAAAATCATGGCTGTCGCCGCCAATTGGCCAGAAAGGAGCCAGCACTAATATATCAGCCCGTGCAAAGATAAAAACTACATCATTATTATTATTATTTCAATTTTCGACAAAACAATAAACAATACCCATTCATAATAAACCAGCAATTAAATACAAGCAAAAGACCAAAGTTTTGATTTGTAATTGGAACCACCAGGAGAAACCTCAGCTAGAAGTGCTCCCGTCAACCGTCGCGATTGCCGTTTTCACTCTTCTCTTACTCGCAATTCGTAGCGCCGTAAAGCGAATAACTTTTTTCTGTTTGTGAAATAGGACCAACATCGCGCAATTGCCCAAGAAATGACAATTAACATAATTTTTGTTATATAAATTAATCCAACACCTTATTAATAATGCTAAGAGAATTTGCACTAATATAAATATATTTATGCATATGTGTATAATTAATTTTCCAAACCCAGAATACCACAATGAGAGCTCTCGTCGATGGAAATAAAAAGGGGTAAGTGAGTTGTGTTCGACTTACTGTCAAGCAAACTTTTTATATATATATATTTACACATATGCGTATGTACCTAGATCTTTGTGCAATTTAAACATTTAGATATATATATAGTCTTCATACATTAGATTTAACGTCCTGTAAGATTCATATTATTATTTTTATAAATTAGCCCAAAATATTATTCTTAAATATATATATTCATTCTTAATGTTTCTTTTTTATACGTTAATACAAATATTACATACACTATATACAGAATATTTCTCAATTTAATTAATTTGGCACCCCAATTTACTCTTATATTTGTCAATTAAATGTGCACCTTTTTAAATAAAAATCTTTTTAATAAATTGTAATATGAAGCAGAACTCAATAATGTCTTGGTAAACGTTTATAAAAGGGGGAGATGGCGCAAATGGAAAAACTCGGGTCAAGAACAATGACATAACTTTCGACTGACGACATTGACACTAGGGGATCGCATTGCAGTGGCCGGCGGCGATCCATCGGCATACGGGACGTATGAAGGGGCAGGGTAAAACAGCCACACGCTGCCGATCGAAATTCGGTCAAGCGCTCGAACTAGCTACTTGAGAAGCTTGTGGGCAGCGACGACAAATAACAAAACGAACTGAACGATCTCTATATTTTTCCTAAGGCACGATAAATTTATTCTCGTTATGTAGGAGAGGGAGTGGTTTCCAAAGAACCCACCCCATCTGGCGAGCTTAGCCGGTACCCAGCGTGCCTACTCAGGACGCAACTCCCTCGGCCCAAGTCCTGTGGACTGGGCACTAATACACCGACGTAACAAGATTGCAAATATAAATCAGTGATTAAGAGTAAATCATATTGGGTCGAGTTAGAAAGGAAGAGTAGTTGGCTTTTTAAGGTTCAGAACCATTCTTAGGCTAGAATTCAGTGCAGCAACTCGAAAATAGAAATAGTGTATTTACCTGAGCAAGGAATATTAACGCTAAGGTCAGATTGTACTGCTCGAACTGATGACAAAATATTAGTTGCCCAACACAGTATTCAGCTAGAAGATCAGGGAACATTTTTTGTGTCTTATATTGGAGAGGTTAATGACAGTGTTGAGACAGGTACCATTTTTTTTTACCTAGGTAAGGTAAAAGGTAGTTGCAAATATTTGTACCTAGGTAAGGTAAAAGGTATGCAATTTTTTCTGTACCCAGGTAAAGGTAAAAGGTAAAGAATACAACTTAAAAATTTTATAAATTTGAAATTTTTATTATCAGTTTCTTTTTCTGAGATACAAAGATATAAACATAAGTCACATTGGTTTCTTTTTTTGAGATCACCGGAAATTTTCCCTTCTATTTTTGAATTTTTCGCTTTCAAAGCTTCATGCGAAGAATAACTGTTCGGGTGAACCCTCTGAAAAAAAAGTTTCATAATGTTTTAATGTCTTCATTATACTTGTTTAATTTAAACATTATTATGTGCTTAGTCATACATATATTTATAAAAATGTGGTTTAATAAAAAAAAATAGTTTTACATTTTTTGGTGGAAAATAAAAAATAAAAATAAAGAATGACCACCCCATCTATGTCCATAAAATTATGACCATATGTATGTATTTATGTATCCGTCAATTTCGTATTAAAATGCACTTTTAGATTATTTAAACTTATGGAAAATAATTTTCGCGCGAAAAAATGCATGTGCATAGATATGCACATTTACATTTAAACATACACTCCAATAAGCACATATTCATACATATATGATGCATACATAAATATGTGCTTGTTCACATACTCAAATAATTCGAAGGTGCATTAAAAAAAAATTGCGGGAATCGTGCTGCTTCATGCTATGATTGTTTAAATGTTTTAATGAAATAGGCACAATCTATACATAAATACATACATATGGTCATATTCACATTGATGACTGCACCACATAAATGTATGAATAAGCACATATATACATATGTATACATATGTTTAAAAGCACATGTGCATGTCTACGCACATGCATTTTTTCGCGCGAAAATTAATTTATCAATTCACTTCACAGTTCACTTACCTTCAGATGTTTATGCAAGTTGCCGGTTGACTTTTCATCAAATTTGATAGTTTTGTTCACACACAGTTTGCACTTCCCGTCCGGTAAAAAGAAAGTACCATTTAAAATTAATGGTAGCTCCTTTTTTCTGCGTCTTCTTTGCTCATTTTAAGATTTGTTGTGACGTTTTCTAGGAACCAATGTCATCGACAAAAGTGCACTGTTTAGGTAGCAACGGCATTGCTAATTTAGCATTATACCAAATTCCAACGGAAAATATTTTTGCATTCTTACCATAAAGACCTCTGTGAGTAAGTGGTGGAACTATCATATTTCTAAGTTTTCGATTGCATTGCTGTGAAGCAGGGCTATTTCTAATATGCACAATATTTACATACACGTATGGAAGTACCTAAATACCTTACATAGCTAAAACTTAAGGTAAACGAAATTCGTACCTAGGTAAGGTTAAAGGTAGCCAAATATTTTTTTACCTAGGTAAGGTAAAAGATACCGAAAAAAATTACCTAGGTACATACCTAGGTACAAGTACCTAGATACACCCCAACACTGGTTAATGATGTACCGAAGATAGTTTGGAACCAGCTCGATTTGCCCTTAATAAATCATACTGATAAAATCAATCGATTAACACAAGAAATACAATATTTAAAGACTCACAAGTTAGAATTAAAAGAATTAGACTTCCATCATGTAACTGGACATGCTTCTTTAATTTTGGCAATTATTATAATACTTGTATTAACTATATATTTTATAAGTAAAATAAATGTACGTGGGCAATTACAAGCCATTGCCATACCAAACGGTATAATTAATATTTAATCAATTTATGTTATAAATAAATTATGTTAAAGAATGTTTTGATTAAAAATAAATAAATTAAAGATTCAATTTTTGTAATCCTAAAACATAAGTCATTTCAAGCCGTGCAAGGTGTTAAATTTATAATGCAAAATAAAATCGAATAAATACAGTCCACTAATGTTATATTGCAATTGAATCAATTATGTAATTACAACACATACACCACAGTTTGCCGGCCCTTGCCAGAATGTTCAGACGAACACTGATAAATATTGTGTCAAAGATTTAATGAGCTCTGCACATGTCATGTAGAACTGTGTAATTCGATCAAGAGCCATAATTTACGATCTGGGACCCGACAAGGGTTCAGTTTTTCAAATACACATGTAATCTGTAACAGCAGGCCACTTGAGCTATCTAATATTATCGCTCTCAGATGTGCCTTCACCGAGAGTTTTTGTGCGGGGGGCAAAATAAATAACTCCCCCGTCCAGACTAAAAGATTAGGTCTCTGCGTAGACCATAGCTAAGATTAGAATAAGATTTTCACATAAGCTTCTTGTCAAGAAGTTTTAAATAAAATGAAACAGTTTCAATACAGAACTCAAACAAAAAGGTTGTATTTATTTACTATCCTTAACACTGCTTATATTAAGTTTTAATTCTTTTCAAATCAAGTATAACGTGCACTTAATTAAAGTACGAATTATACTCGAATCAAGTATTAAAAATTCTTTAATCAAGAAAGATCATTTTTTGGGTTAAGAATGCATGCGGCATGAGCACTATTGGTTTTTATAATAAAAACAGATTTTGCTTTATTTAAGAGCATATAAATCCATTTCCGAACCTAAAAAGTTATTAAAAAAAAGGACTGCTATTCCTTGAATTGAGGAAATATAAGGTGAGTTATTTATTTAATTAAACGCGCAAAAACCTTTGTTTGCGCACTTGGCGCTTGTATTTAAATAACTAGTTGTAAGGCGAGAGCGGGAGCCAATAAAGCTTTCGTCCGTTCGTTCTTGCGAATTCGCCCCGTCTCTCGCCACCGTAGCATAAGTTAGGTTCTAAGAGAAATTCTTGAAATATAATAGTCAGTGATCAATCGAACGTCATCGTAGCCACTCCTTTTCGTCGTGCTTTCGAAATAGTTTTTCACAAATTCGCAATTTAACATCGTCGAACTACTGCAGTCACAAGTTTTCGCGTTGTTAATACAAAACAGTATTAAATTTTCAACCTTGTTTTTTGATATTTTAAATTTTTGTATTTATTTTACATTTTAATTGTTTGCTTAAATTTATTTATTATTATTTTCTTATAACTAACTGGATAAAGTGATTACAATTTGTATTGTATTTGTTACGAGCTGACCGCCAGCACCTAGTAAAATGCAGGGCTGTTATTCAGCTTTGCATGTTTATTGTTCTTCGTCTTTCTTATCTCGCTACATTTGTCGCGTTATCTATTCAGCTGAGCTACAGCGAAAATTTGAAGTCAAGCTTTCTGCAAGTCAGTTCTTCGAGCACAGATAATAAAATCAAATAATAATTTCAATTGAACCTATCGTGCGTTTAATTTATATTTCTAAACTAAAGGGTGGCATTGTGGTTGTTTTCCCCATAAACATTTTGGTGACCCCGACGTGATATTCGTTTAATCGGAGTCTGCATGTCGGTTTTTAACATTGTTTAATATCGTTTAAGCAATAACTTATTTTCGCTGTCGTTTGCTGCATCTCAGTCACAAACACACGAACACTTTATGTGCGCGCTGCCGGCCGGCCGTTTGTTTTTTTTTTGAGCATTTTCGCGTTGTGAAAGAAGCAAAACTGTGTTGTGCTGCAAACATTAAACATAAAAGGAAACGCAATTAATTGTTGTTAAACGCGTATATTGCATACATATATGTGTAAATAGCCGTGTATGTGTATGGTCACATACATTACTTCGCCAAGTCAATGCGCTGTTGCTAGGCAAAATTTCGGTAAAAAGAACAAAAACAAAGTTAAAGTTTCCGTTTCGGTGTTGGCGACGCTCGGTGCATTAACATTTGCGCGGCAATAGGCATAGGGTGTTTTCTGCCCTCTGAATCCGGTCAGATTAAAAAATGGTTAACCCAGGAGTCGCGATTCAGCCTCAAAATTATGCTCCCAGTGACATCAAGTTTTACCGAGCCAAAGTGCGTTCCGTTTTGCGGCATTTAAACGCAATGAAAGATTACTTAACTGCTGGAGCTACTGAGCAGTTTGATGAATCTGATGTCCTCGCGCGGCTGGAATGGGTGAACTCTATGAACTTGGAATTCGATTCAGCACAGACTTCGCTGGAAAAACTGGACTTTTCGGAGATTAGTAAAGATACGCGGTTTGAATTTTCCGCAATCTTAATGGATTTAAAGGCGAAACTATGTAAATCGGGCCCTAGCAGCTCTGCGCAAACTGCATTTGCGCGTTCCACAGCTGCCAATTCTACATCCTTTGATATTATAAACATTGCGGATTTTTCTTTCAGATTGAGGAAACCTCGATTGCCAAATCTAGAGATTGCTCGCTTTCAAGGATCGTACTCATCATTGGAAATGATGACGAGCTAAGTGATATTGAAAAATTACAATATTTGAGGTCCTCTTTTGGCGGCGTGGCTTTGGAAACCATACGATCGCTCGAGCCCTCAAATGAAAATTATAAAAAGGTTTTAAATTTACTTATTAATTGATTTGATAATAAAGTTTTACACTTTCAGGCACACGTTCAGGCAATATTTGGTTTAAAAGGTGTCGAGAACGGGTCAGATAAGGGTCTTCGGGAGCTCAGCGATTGGATGAATTCGCATCTTCGAGCAATCCGTACCTTGGCCACTACACAACAAATTCTGGATGGACTTCTCATTCATATACAAGCTGGATCAAAGGACCCGGGAAAAATTGGAAGATGATTTGTCAATCTCTGAGCTACCTACCTGGGATGCTATGGAGTCGTTTTTGGAGAAGAGGTGCCGGATAATGGAAAACTTGGACCAAGCTGTGGTAATTCAAACACCACACCATCAGGTGGGAAAAAGCATGCATAGATATAACCCAAGTGTACTGATTACGATTGCTACTAACTCCAACCATCCAATTTGCCTATTTTGCGATGCTAGAGATCATTATTCGCCAAAATGCTCCCGATTTTTAAGCTTGATATAGGGAATATAGGGAAGCAAAGAAAATGCACCTTTGCCTCAACTGTTTACGCAAAGACCATAGCTTGCAGCAATGTAAGTCAACTCATTGTAAACATTGTCGCATGAAGCACCATTCATTACTGCACATTATCCCAGAGTCATCCATACCATCGACCTCAGTTTCATCTACATCATCCAACCCATCTATAAGCTCTCAGCTTACCATCGACTTCATCATCACTAGTGTCATGCTCATCTCCATTATCACAACCTAATCACCATTTAACCCATTCTCCACCACAAACCTTAAATACAATGCCAATGAATTACGTGCTGCTTCCAACTTCTATAATCTACGTAAAAAATAGAGTTGGTGCATTTATGCCTTGCCGAGCAATATTAGAATCAGCTTCTCAGTTAAATTTTATTACTACGCGCCTAGCTAGCCAACTTAATTTGAAACAATCGCAAACACTAATTACTGGGATAGGGAAATCTGCCATGAACTCTGATAAGCAGTGGATATTCTGGCGCAATCACGGGATGCAAGCTATCGTGCGTCATTCGCAGCTGTTGTAACCCATTGTATCACTGATTACCAGCCAAATTTCAATTTAAATACTACAGGATGGAGGATGCCACAAAACATTTCGCTAGCTGACCCTCATTTCAACCAGTCACAACGAATTGATCTTTTAATTGGCGCTGGTCTGTTCTTCGAAATAATCGCTAAAGGGAAAATTAATTTGGATAGCACCTTGCCCACGCTGCAAAACACCAAGCTTGGTTGGATAGTTTCTGGAGGGATGTCAAGTATGCTAAATCGCAAATCTGTCTTGGCTGCCATTGTCAAGGATCCTGCTGATCATTCAGATGATGAGACACTTGCTGCCGAAGTAAAGCGGTTTTGGGAGATTGAAGACATTAGTTCAGAAAAACCATCGATGCTGGCCGAGGACTTACGATGCGAGCAGCATTTCAAAGAAAATTGCATTAGGCTGGAGAATGGTCAATATTCGGTTTGCCTTTTATCCACTTAAGGATTCGAATCTTTGGATGACTCCTACTGTCTGGCCCGTCGTCGTTTTAAAAGTTTGGAATCAAAACTTAATAAGAACCCCAATCTGAAAGAGCAGTATTCGGTATTTTTACAGGAATACCTCAACTTAGGCCACATGTCTCTCGCATTAAGGGAACCAGCGGTGCCACAATTTTTCTTGCCTCACCATTCTGTTCAGAAGCTTGAAAGCATTACAACTAAACTTCGTGTCGTCTTTGATGGTTCTGCTAAAACTACATCCGGAATAGCTCTACGACGACTTGCTTCTAGCAGGACCAACAATTCAGCAAATATCTTTAATATTTTGCTTCGGTTTAGATTTTTTAAAGTAGCTCTTTGTGGAGACATCTGCAAGATGTACCGCTGCGTTCGTGTTTCGTACCCTGATAACTTTTTGCAATGTATTATTTGGCAAGAGAACTCCACAGATAAATGGAGTGTTTATAGACTAAACACGGTAACTTATGGAACCAAGTAGGCTGCCTTCTTGGTTATAAAAGCCATGCATCAGATCTCTTATGATGAAGAGGAATCATTTTCAGTTGGAGCAAAAATCGTTCGTAGAGATTTCTATGTGGACGATCTAATTTCTGGTGGCGATTCAGTTGAAGAGGTGAAAGAAATTCGTCATCAGG